CCTTGACAATTCTCGATGACTATGACACTAATTATATTGTTTTTAGAATATCATAATGTAATATTACCTTAATCCATTAAATAATTGTTTTGATTTTTCAAGTAAATGAGTAAATTCTTCTACGATTTTATCTTCAAATTCCTGATCATTATTTTCATTTAAATATTCATAATTGCCTGATGCGGCTAACTTATCAGTTGGAGTTAAACTTGTTGCTGTCATATTACCATTATGAATAAGTATATTTATATATATATACTTTTTTTTGCAAAAAGTAAAAAAAAAAGATAAAATCTACAAAACAAACAGTTCTTACTAAATAAAAATTGACATTATTTTATTTGAAAAAAAAACAAATTAGTATTAAAATGGACGGTAAATTTCAACGTAAATTCAAACATTCTCTCGATTACATATCTTAAATGAATGGACGAAAATATTATGCAAACATTTGCATACTAGCAAAGTTATAAAATTTATCAAGTTGTATACGAGCATCAGCTGATGATTCACTGATGAAATCTAAAAAAGAAAATAAAAATTTATTTCGATAATCAAATTTTCTTTTATATTAAATTACGAGGTAAATTCTGATATTTTGTTGTTAATAAATTATGAAGAGATTGCTGACAAATCGATACACAATGTTCACCAGCAAATTCAAGTCCAATAACAGGACCTTTAACAACTAATTGTGTATATGTACGATTACTACCAAACATTCGTTCAGCACTTGTTTCATCAATTTTATATGATTTACTTTGTACAAGTACAATCTAATTAGAAAATTCAAAAATTAATAGATAAAATTCAAATAAATTATCGAACTTCAGATTGTTTTGTCATTGCAATTAATTCTCGAGCACAAGCATCAGCATTCAAATCTTGAAAAAATATTACCAAACAACGCTATAATAAAAAAAATATAGTGTTTTTTTTTTACAATTAAATTATTTAGTTTATCAAGAAAAAATTCTTAATAGAACTTTCGAAAATCTTATACAATATGAAAAATGTCATTTCAAACAGTTTAATCCTTAGGATATTTATACTTTTGAGTTGTTACAACTGTATAAGAACTTTAGTTATCTATTATTGTTCGACATAGTGTATTAAGTTATTCTTTGTTTTACATACATATGAGATACTTTTTCCATAACAAAAAAAACTGTTTTTCTATTTCGTTTATTTATATTGACTATTATATTGTAGATTTGTTTTGCAGAATATTTTAAAAATTTTGACTAAGAAATATTGTAAAGGTCGAAGTAGAATCGATATATGAATATTTCTTCTATTGATTTATACTTAATATTGTATTAGAACGTAATAGTTCACTTGAATATGTCAAATGTAAAGGAGAAAAAAGTGCGACTTCAATTCTTTAAAGTACAATACTTATCGTACTGAACTTGTATTTCGCTGTATTGAATTTGAACTTTTTTTTCTCCTTGATCAACTATATTTCGTCTTTTGATATATTAAGTATAGACGAATAAATGGATAGAAATTTTCGTTTATCTAGTCTAATATTTCTCAGTAAAAATATACATTGATATACAATATACTGTTACAAAAGAAATTTTCTATGCATTCTTGTTTTCCTCTAATTTGCGCCTCTGAATTTTCCTTGGGTAAAACTTAACCTTTCTATGATCGATACATACGTATTATTTGTTTCTATAAACGCCATCTATTTAATAGATAATTTCAAAAAAATGTAATGCCAGAAGTCAGTAATGAAAAAAAGAAATAGAAGTTAGAGCAAAAAAAATTGATTAAAGTAATGTAATGATGATAAAAAAAAAATATGCGCTACTTGTTTTTTTTCTTCTCAAAAATAATATCTTTGAATGATTTGTAATTATACTAAATGCATGCAATGTTCTAATAATAGATCACTAGAAATTCTGTTAAGAATTTTAAGAAAAAACACTCTACGATTAATTGCTACATGAAAGAACATTTAATAGAGTTCTTACACTCTTTTCCAACTTACTCAAGAGACTTTCTTTAATCAAGATAACACTTTTTTGTATTCTGCAACGTCATGGTCATAAAACTTATCTCGACAAACAGTTCTATTCAAACAATATATTTTTGAGTATGCTATTATGAAATGTTTATCGAAAGAGTGTCGTATTAGTTCTGGACTCTTAACTAAAATTAGTTTCTATGTAAATAAACAAAGATTGATCTCTATTCAACTATATTTATATGAGCTCTGAGTGTTTAGGACGATGATTTTGGAATGGCATTATCTATTTTAATAATAGTGATATAAACCAGAAGAAATGTAATAATTTTGATGTGAGTGCAGACAACAACTACATCCATATACGGTAGATACCTACGTATTACTTTATATAATTGTGTTATGTTACATATAATGAATTTATGGTTCATTAAAACTTCATTAAAAAAAAAAAGTTCTGATCAATTTCGAGATTTTTAATTATTATGTTTCTTCTGTTCGTTCATATCACTATTATTCAAGGAGATAATGTCATTTAAAGCATCACCCTAATTACTCGAATCTCATATAGATAAAGATGGATAGAGATCAATCTTTGTTTACATATAAACTAACTTTCATTAAGACCTAGAACCTATGCAATACTCTTTTTTTGTATCACAAAAAAATAACGTTTAATACGAATTCAAATATTTATTTAATTTGCTAATGAAATCACTCACTTTTTCCAATGACAAAAAAAAAGTCATTATAACGATAGGATTCTCTTATGAACACGTTTAAACATTGTTATAGTAAGCACAATAAGTCTTGAATAGAATATTCTATTTTTCTCTATGTCTTATGGTTCGTTGATATAGAGATGAATGAATTCTAGGCCTTATCTTTTTTTAACCTGAATTGAATTACCAGGTATCTATTTTTGTTTTTTGTGATAGAAAAAAAACTAATTATAACAGATTGTACTTTACAAAATAAATCTTTCACCATTTTGTATATGTTTTAATCAAGATCTGAAATTAGAGTCTTAATTAAAATGATTTCATTGAAATAACCTGGAAATTCATATATTATTACTACATGAGTAAACATTTATGCTAACAATCTATCATAAAGAAAATCTTATCAAATCTATTATATTAATAATGAATAGAATTATTCATTCATAATGAAACTGATTAAATCTTACTTCTTCAGTTCGATTACGATATATTTCACCATAAGTATATGGTGTAACACTTGTATCAATATCATCCTTAATATTTAAATGACTACATGATGGATCAGTTGGAACAGGCAAATGTTTAAAAATATTTTCATCCTATTAAAAATAAAACAAATGACTTTTCTTTTCTTTTGTTGAAATTCGAAATTACTTTATCAAGTAATGAATAATTTTTGCCATCAGGAATTGTTGTAAAATCATGAATATGACCCCAATTATTATTCCATGGACTAATATCAGCTGATTTATATTGATCTATTATATTAAGAAGATTAAAATTGATTGTTTTCTTTTTTAACAATAAATCTTACCAGCTAATTGTTGATAATTAAATGTTAAGCATCCAAATTTAATATTATGTGATGATTCAATAATTGGTTGACTTATACATGATAAATAGACATATGTATCACGACAATCTCGAGTACGAAATTGTTGACATATTGTTGCTAATACACAATTTATTGAATCTCGAATGAAAATACTAAAACGAATTGTTACATTTTTTTTTGCAACAAAAAATAGTTTGAATTCACCTTCCGTGAACAGGACCAATAAATATTTTACAATTAATGCAATCATCAATTTGTACTTGACCCGTATGATCAAATACATAGACTGTACAATTCTATTTAATGATAAAAATTGAAGAAAAAAAATGAAACGAACTAATTCCATTTGAATAACTTACTTCACAGTTTTGAACTAGAAAAGAAAAGGTAAGACATTTATGAATTAAGTGAAAATAATTAAAGTCTTAACTTACTGATAAATTGTTGTCCATTAACTGAGCCTGGTAACCGAAAGATTGTTTGATCTTTCAATTTATCAAGAATAAAATCTTCTTTTTTAATTGCTATACGATCAGCTCGTTCCCTAGAAAATCACACTAGGACTATTATTGTTCAGTAGATAGAAAAGAAATTTTTTTTACCATGAATAAACTGGACGTGGTGGTGGTTGTTCTATAATATCGCTATGGTCTGACGGACCAAAGAAATAAGAAAAAAACGAAAATAGACAACCCATAGCTAACAGTAACACCTTTTAGAAAGGAAATGAATTTTCTTCCTTTTATTCTTCCGCTTATTTACAAAGCCATAAAAAGAATTGCTTGTTCCATATTGTACCTTAATTGTTCCATTGTGCTTAGCCAACTTATTTCAATGCAGTATGTTAAAAGAAATCATTTTCCATTGTCTTTATTACCATGGAATTGAAATGAATAGAATTTTTTCAAGTCACATTTGAATATGTCTCAACAGGGTGCTGCATTACAAAATTATAATAATGAATTAGTTAAATGTTCGATTATTTTATACATTTTTCTTTCTTATTAATATCAAATTATTTTATTAATTCTATAGGTATTGAAGATTTATGTACAAAACGTGATGAATTACAACGTCAAATTTTAATTGAAGAAGAAGATAAACATAAAATTGAAAATGAAATTCGTATATCAAGTGAAAAATTAGTTAAAATTAATGAAAGTTTAGCTAAAAAAATAACTGCAAGAACAGAATTTGATCGAACAATAAGTGAAACAGAAGCAGCATATATGAAAATTCTTGAAAGTTCACAAACATTACTCAATGTAAGATTTATTTTTGTGAATATGTGTTCAATTTTGTTGTTTTTTTTATTTAGGTACTCAAACGAGAATCACATTCACTTCGTACTAAAGTTGATGAATAGATTATGAAAAAAAATATTAAATGAAGAATTTCTATTCATCTGTAGGTCTACTTTTGTATTGCAAATTAATATAAATATTTCACTTGTTTTTTTTTTCTGACTTTATATGTATATTAAAAATAAAAATATGAAAAAAATTAAATTAATAACACAACTATTTGATGATGAATAACATGATTCTCCATCTTGTGGTGTTATTTCAAGTTCAGTTAAATTAATACATAAATTATTTATCATATATTTGTCAAGTTCAATCAAATAATCATTTGATAATGATGTAGTTCTACTAAATAACCATAAATCAGGTTTTTCACATGGATCTGTATATGTATAATTATCTGAGGTACAACCATAGATTAATGCATAATGTTCATAATCAGTTTTTAAAATATAAAAAGGCCTATTAAGTGGTATTGTGTTATTAATATCAACTGTTTCAAGAATCATTTTTGCAGTATTATTTGCAATAATGATCCAAGGTCCAAAAGAAAAACAGTCTGTATTTAATGATCGTGCTTTACCAGGTACTAAAAGCTTTTGTGTTGAAGAATTGTCTAATTGAAATGATAGATAAAAATTTCGCCAAATTTCAAATTCATTATGTGATTGACTTGATAACCATTTTATTTCATACCATATACCAAGAAATTTATTTAAATTAAAATCCGATTGAACAATTAAATTGTCTAAAGAAGGCTTTGTACAATCTAATAAACCAAGGACTTTATTCAAAATAACGACATAACTAATAAATAAAATGCACTTCATTCGAACATTTTCTTTTTGAATATCGCAATGCACAAATAAAAAGAACTGCAAAATTTATCTTTTTTTTTTATAGAGAAATGTACGTGACAGTAATCTCTTTAAAAAATCATCGAAAAGAGCACAAGCCATAGAGTATCATGACTTACAGTATTATAAGAATGTAGGTTAGAAAAAACATTCAATAGTTTGTTTTTTTTTTATAATCACTTTTTCAACTTGATTTACCAAGTAATACTTTGCCGTTTTCATAATAGACGATAATCATTTGATTAGACACGAAACATTTTTTTTTTGTTGTTGACAAAAAAATCAATTTGTTTCTGTTTTGTTTTTTTTTGCTCTGAGGTCACTCGTCTTATATCTTTTTTTTGTCATCAAAATGAATGTGCAAAGAATGTTGAATGGTTAAGTAATGAAACCAACATTGTCTAATACAAACTATTTAGTTTTGTTTCATCTATTTATCTGTACTATCAGACAGACTAATACAATCAACGAAAGATTGAAATCTCCGACAAAATTCTTATGAAAATAGCTAACCTTCATTCTAACAAAAAATCTATTCAATACAGATAAATAATTAACATCTGCACTAGGATTAAAGAGGAACGATTGTACCGTTTAAAGAAAATGTTGATAAAAAAAAAAAGTTAGAAAATTTGTATCATCTCAATCATAAATCCGAAACACATATTAAAATCATATCAAAATACAGAGATCACTATTAATTGTTATTGTTGTCGAATTATTGAATATATATCCATCCTTCTTTTTCATTCTGACGTAAATATTAATAAAAACTCTCGAGAATATTTTCATATCGAAAAATTTCTTTTTCTGTTATTCATGAATAATTTGAAAAAAAAATTATTAAACAAAAACTACTCTTATGATTCAAGTTCTAAAATGTTATCAATATAACTACTACAGGATTAAAATATGAAATACGATGCAGCTGCTAATATTATAAAAGAAAGGATTAATCAAGGTTTATAAATTCTTACCTACTGTAAATGTATGTTGTCGATGAAAGATATTAATCATGATACATTGTAACGAATGTGAAAGAAAAGTAAAAAAAAATTTAATTATCATAGTAAACTTTGATCTTATAGTTTTGTATGTCGCGATGAATAGTCGTCGCTAAGATGTCTGCAATGATCTCTTAATGATATCTCTGTCATGTTTGTAACGAGTTTTTGCTAACATGTCTTTCACAGTTGTGCTAAGTCATTTCTAATATATGTCTGTCATGTTTATGAGAGTCAAAATTTGCACTCGTTTGAGATCATATTACAGAAGCCTATTATATTTATCATACATTATAATTAATGTATTTAGTCAATATAAGTAAACATTTAGATAAATATTTATTTTTAATATCTTATTAATTTGATTGATTTCGAATAAAAGAAGCATAATCGATTTAAAAAAAAAGAAAACCTATAATATCAAATAACTCTTCTTGTAAGTCATGCATTCGAATATCTCTTTTGTTACTTAAAAGACGGAATTAACTACAACGGATTAACGTAAAGAAAGAAAAGCTACGCACACACACACACACACACACATATATACGAATTACATGGCTCTTAAAAGAAGAGAAAGACAAAATGTACGAGATTGCGAAAAAAGAAAAACGTATTAAACGATGTATACACGCACATTTAACATATATATAAACATGAATTATAAGACAAAGAAATATTAGAAATACACACACATATATATATTATATAATCATGTATTAACTATTTACGAATATTTATTTTTAATTTTTCATAAACACGTGAAAATAAATCTTTATAATTTGTTGGTTCATAATAAAATTTTAATTGATTATTTTCTAATAGAACTTCATCATATAATGATAGATCATATTCTGGTGTTGAATAAATATTTGATAATACTGATTTTGTATGTTCATTAGAATATTTTTCTAATAATTTTCGATAATGATTTAATTCATTTTGTAAACTATCATTATCATCACGATGTTTACGTTCGACTTGTATTATATGATCTAATAAATAACGTTTATCTTGTTCAGATTGACGAAGTTGATCATTTACTTTTGTACATTCATTTGTTAATGATTTAATATGTGATTTAAGTTCACTAAGATGTGATTTAAATACAGATGCATATGAAGTATCAAATAGATTTGATGAATTTAATAATAAAGATGAATTAGATGTTGATAATAAATTCAATGAATTCGAACGTTGTCGTTTAGTTGATATTGATGTTGAAAGAATTGATGTTTGATATGAAGAATTTGTTTGTTTTGGAATAAAATATGATGAAAATTGTTTTGTTCGAAATATGTTATATTCATGTTCAATATCATGATATTGTTTACGAGTTTTTTCATATAGATCAGACAATCTATAAGTAAATATATGTATATATCTTCAAGGCAAAATAAAGTTTTCATTAAATTTCAAAATTTATTGGAGGATAAAAATTTAGAATTCGACTAGCGAACAATTTCAACAATTAAAATTTAAATAGAAGAACTAGTCTTATTTTTTCTAAACAATTTCAAAATTTAAGTCTATTCAAATAGATTAGTATAATTATCTCGTTTTGAAATAACATTTTTTTAAGAAATAAACGTGTCTATTTGCATGGTTATTGAATCCAATTCAGACACACTTTTTTTAATTAGATAGTAACACGTACATCGATATTTCTACTGCTTCATTGACATGATTATATATATTTTTTCTTTCATTCTACTTTACTTTGAGTGCAAAGTAAAGTCATTGTTTAAATTAATCTTCTAGTCGAATTCTAATTTTATTCGAAACTACTATACATACTTTGATTAAATTCAAATTTAGACGAAAACATATATCTATATATCAGAGTCATACTTACTCTTTAATATGTTGTCGATTTTTTTCATTTTCTCGACGTTGTATTGCAAGTTCTTTTTCAAGATCAAAATTAGCTGCATCAAGTATTTCGGTTTGTTTACATTTAGTATCAAGTTGTTCTCGTGTTGAAAGAAATTTAGCATGTAATAACTATAATTGAAATAAATTTAATTATAAAATTTAATTAAATTTTTCATCTTACTTTTATTTCACATTGTTTATCATCAATTTCTTTTTCTAAAATATCAATATAATTTTGTAATTTTTGATTACGTTCAAGTAAATATCGACCAAGTTCAGCAGCTAATCGAAGATCTATAAAGATATGAAAATTTTCAAAAAAGAAAAAAATAAGAAAATTTAATTAATAATATACAAACTTTTTTCATAATCATCTGGATTTAATGTTGTAATTGATGATGAAGAAAGAAGAGTATTAGTAAAATCAAGTTCAGCACCATCCATTATTGATAAGAACATTATCGATGCTTGTACATGTTGATTGACCTGAAATAAGTAGTGTTTTCGTGAAAGTGCCATTAATGAAGCTATGTATATTTAAATTTGGTCAATGAGTTCAATAGTTTATGTTTTAAAGAAAGAAAGAAAGAAGGAACACTTTGTATTCTTATATTTCTATTCGAAATGAATGAAGGTGTTGACTAATTAGAACAATGACCATCGAGACATGCCCGAAAAAGAGAACGATAGAGTAAAAGTATTTTTTTGAACAAACAACCATTTAGTCTATATTCATTTTCTTACCTGATCTTATATGTACATGACTATAGAAGATATGATATGATGTGCTCTAGTTTACTATGTCTATGAAACATATAGGCAAATATGTACATTGTTGCTCTCTCCCCCTCTCTATCTCTTTCTCTTGACTACTTGTCACTATGTGAAAAATATATGATTATATGTGGGTGTGTTATTTCCATTAGAAAGACAAAGCGAAGTATTGGTAGTAAGCATAACGAAACGGATGATTGTGGATACAATTTATCGTCATCACTGTCAGTTCGCATTATATGTATATAAACATGGCAGGAAAAAAAAAGAGGACAGAAAAAAAAGGAAAGATAGGCTAAACAATCCCTCCTATCTATATCGTCGTTTACTTAAAGATTATACAGACTAACAGGCGTACGTATAAACAGCTGCACACGTGTAATATATATATATAAGATGAATCGAAAAGGTGTATATACCCGAACATAACGTTTTCATACAGACAACTGATCAATATCATTTTATTTTTTCTCACATTGTCTTCGCTTCTTTCTCTCTCTCTCTGTCTTTCCCTTTTTTTTTTTTACATAATAACTTTTATAATGATTACTACGGCTGCTTTTTACTAATATACTTCAGTCAATGTGTGTGCGTTACTTTGAATTATAACATCATGATCAGTTGACCTCGAACATTACATGTGATAAGATGAAGTTATATTTATTTTTATTGTAAGTCGTTGCCTTCAATCTCTCACTTTTTTTTCTTCTCTTATAATTGATGAAATTATTCGATATTGTTCTGTTATAAGATACATATATATATATATGTACTGTATGTATACAATATTATTCATAATTTGTTCAATGTTGACTTTTCATTTTTTTTTTTCGTTTTCATATATGTTATTACTAGCTTTTGTAAATAAATAGAAATTTGTCCATGACTTGTTCAAGGAGAAAACGAAGACGGACATATATCTCATTGATAAGAGTCAAATATTTATATTCAAATTCAAATGAATTACTTTAGTAATCGATAAAACAATTTATACTTATTACTTTTCTAAGATCAGATATTTACTTGAAAGAAATATTTTATATTTATGAAGAAAGATAACTAAAGAAAAAAAAGAATCATATACCTTATTCTTATAGTAGTCTATTGCATTGATATGTTTATCTATATAGTAAAACTATTTAAATTGAAAAAATAAATGTTAGTAAATATGTGCTTTTTTTTTTTTTTTGTTTCTATCGAAAGACAAGAAGAAAAATGTCATTTATTCTTGTCATTAGTATAATAATCAAATAACTATCGTATATTTTTACATATTCATTTATTTTTGCATTAACAATATAAGAATACATATATATATATGTATATACTTTTTTGTTTTACGTCAAAAGATGAGAGATGAATATTAATTTGTATGACATCAGATTATTTGTGTTTGAATATACATTTGCTACAGTAAATAACAAGTATGGTTAATAAGTGTACTCATAGTTTATTATAGTACATCAATCTTTCTTACAAACAAAATTAATCTATTGAAGACAAAAGAAACACTTTCTGTTGATGTTTTTATAGATATAACTGCAATATCTATTGTAAAAAAGAAATGCCAATGAACATACAACCAATAATATCTATATAATTGAATGATGATAGATACTCAATTCATTGCTGAGTACTTGTACTCATTCTATATTTCCAGATGAATATTTTACGTTAAAATCTAATATTTACTTTATTATCATATACTTTTTTTAGTTATTTGCATATGGTTTTATTGAATGAAGAAATAAATTTTTAGGAACTTAATTTGTTTATATTATGATATGATTTATCATATAGTTAGTTCCACCTTGTTATGATTAGTATATATCCAAGGAGAAATTTTTTTGCTTTAGTAATATAAGAAAAATATAAATAAATCATCATGAAAATTGTGATGGAAGAAACGAAGGACAAAAAGTAAATTGATTGTCAGGCATAGTAATAACTATATTATATAGAATACTCGTTTGGCTACCAGTTAATCTGTTGATCAATTTCTTCTTTTTTCTTTTGCAATAATAGATGCATTGATAATTGTAAATTATCAAGAGAAGAGTAATAGAGAGATCTGTTACGATATCGTGTAAGGTTTCTTATTGCTTATGGATTTTATTTATCTACTAGTGTTAATTGACGTCCATGGTTGGTGGAAATTTAAGATCAGCGACACATGGACTGTTATATTGTCAATACTATTGCTGTCAAATTATCGATGATATTATATCTCTAATCAGCACTTTTGCTAATTGTATCTTTTAAGGTCTCTTGAATATCTCGTTGTATGTTGTGTTGATCAAAGGATCCACTTGAGTCAATAATTTATTGACTTTATATTGCTCGTATTATCAATTTCAATTGGTCTAATCACCAACAACCGTGTATTATCAATATAGATGATTCACGGGAGTCATTTGGTACGAATATGAAAATTATTCATGAAACCTTCACCGCAAAGTTTTTATGAGGAATTTACATGTCATTCAATTGTTCGTTCTTCCCGAAGGGTCAAATAATACTGACAGAACTGAAATGTGTTTGGCATACCAATGCCAGTATTAGTTGATCGTCTGTTTAGATCTGATGAGATATATAACCATCGAGCATTCGTAGAAATAACTAAAATGTTACATAAAAATGATGAATTGTATGGTATCTAATTGGATATATGAATTATACAGGAGTGAAGATAAATTTCTTCTAGTGAAAATACTCATTTTTAGTTTTTTCTCTTAGATCATTTAACAAAATATTTATGCATGATAATGTATTAAAAAAAAGAACGTTTTAATAACATCTGTTTTGTCATCTATGTTTTTCTGATGAATAATTCATAAGAATTCAATCAATAATGAATTAAACAAAAAGAAAAAAATAACTTATGTTCAATTATTCACTTGTTGACTAAGTTGAAATATTAACATGGAACGTATAAATGATAATTCATTTGATTTCACTTAATTTAATTCTAATTTTTTGTTTTGACTAAATGAGAAGCATTTATCAGTTTAAAAATATTAGTTTATTTTGTTTTTGTAATAATTAAAATTAATAGTCTATTTCTTATGACGTTTCTCAATTTTTAGTTCTATACCAGACATTTTCAAACCGACAAGTCACACCATCTCGTCACGAGTCAAGACTAGTACGATATAGTATGAGATTTGAGAAGTTCTCAAGAGAAAGAAATAAGTGATTGATGCCAGAGTCTAACTCAAATCTGACGAGCTCACAGTAAAAAAAAAGATAGTGTTGATCTCAAATAGGATCGGATTGAGACCTAAGAATTTCACCCATGTCGGAGACTGTATAGTACAACAATACGAACTAGAGTATATAGTTATAAATGATTTTCCATAAATCCCCATAGTATAAAAGAACTATACATAAGTGTATAAAGTGAATACTCGATTCTCGTATGTCAATACTCATAAGAGTTCTGAAAATTTGAAAGCACATAAGTTAAAGACAGGAGCATTTCCACTTCTTTTCTGATTGCTTCTGATTTTCGAACACAGTACAACCAATCAAGCTGAAATTTTTTCCCACAGATAGAGTACTAAAAATAAGGAGATACGTTGTAAGTGTCAACAGAGGTCATTCTATTACTGCTAACTGTTGACATTACTTCTTATTGGTTTTTCTCTTGCTCCTGTAAGTTGTTCTTGTCAACTTATTCTACATTCTCTAGTGATTATTCACTTTTTCTATTGCTATTAACTTTTTTCGTTAATATTGTGTCCTATTCTCACGTCTTTCTTTGTTCCTATCATTCAGATTTTATTATACTAATAAAACTTTGTCTCATCATTGTCATCAATTCTTTATTACGAGGTTAATATATGATAGACATATGCTTATGTATGTGAGATTTCTCATTGCATTAGTAGATCGAGGTATAGATTCAGGTGTTATTCTGTATACATTTAGGTATGATCAGGAGTATATGCATTTTAGCTAGTTGCTTACGGTTGTGATAAAAATTTTCAGCTTGATCAGTTTTATTGTCTTTGAGAATGAATGTTCATAAATAGAGCTGTGGTAAATAATCTCTTATTTCTATTATACAGGATATTGTCCACTATCAAAACGTGACACAAATTATTAGAACGTCAGAACGTGTGGTAGTCAACATGTATTATTCCTATGTGTTCTATTGATATTCATTTGATAAATGACTCTAGATCTTTAAAATTGAGTTATAAACATTATTGTATTTTAATCCAGTTCTATCAAACCTTTGTAGACATCAGAAATATCATGTATTTTCACGTCTGATTTCATAAAAAAAAGAAGATAACAAAACAATAGTTTATCTTTATTTGTAGTAATCCAGCATGAGCATAATGACAATCGTCAATGGTTGTACACAGTGTAAATTGCGACCATATACGATCGTATTTCGTAATGTCTACCAATGTATGCTATCCTTCATATGCATGCCTGCTATTGATAGTTTTCATCGCACACTTTGATGCAAGCTCTTTCTAAAACACTTCTTTCCTAGCTAGGCTTTCTTTCAGATTGATACCAAAATCATCAAATTCTTATTGCAAAGCCTAATTCATCAATGAGATATTTATATTTAAATTGTTAATTTGATTTTCAAATCTAGACACTTATATTCAATATTTGCTTGCACTAATTATTACTTTTGTTGAATTTGTTATGAATCTAAAAAAAAGGGCAAAATTTATTTTATGCTTCTAGTTGAACTTAATACTAAATTGTCGAATTATGATAAAACTACAGAAGAAAAAACTAATCTGAGTTATTTATTTTTTTTCGATCAAGATTAGTCTAAAAAAAAATGCAATAAAACCTAAGTAACTTTCACACTGACTACTGTATCTCAAGTGGGCAATAAGTCTGAATATATAATGCTATTGAAAGTTCTGTCACGAGTGCTGATAATAAATAAATATTTCAGTTTATCACTCATATAAAGAGTTCGAAAGAATTTACAAGCATAGTTACCACTAGCCTTATATAGAATAGTTGGTCAACTAAATAGAAAGCAATAAACATTTTCTATTGTCATTCGATTAAAATCAATCATCGAGTACTAGTAAATGATCTTCGTCAGAAACTGACATATATTTTCAATATCAAAAATATTGACATTAGAATTACTTGATTGCTCATGTATTAAGTCTCTTTCATTATCTTTCAATGGTGAATCACGTTCACTCAATGAAAACACAGAGATTTTAATGCGTATTGTAAAGAACATAGTAACTAAAATGACAAAAAGTGAAAGCAATATGATACAATCACTAGTACAGATATGCATACTTAATGACATATATATATATAGATATAGAAAGAAACACAAAAGATCATAGGCGTCAGTGAGCGAAATATTTGTTAGATTCTGAGTACAAAATGAACAAAGACATACTAACACTAGAAAATAAAAAATAAAAACAATTTCTTATATATTCAATACATTTCAGAACTAATCCTAACAGTATAATTCAAATGTATTATAATTTCAAGCTTTGACTATGTCTTAATTAGTATTTTGTTTGATTTAATATTTGTTAGCATACTTCTGTATTTTATATTCTTTATCTTATTGTTTTTTTTTCTGATATGCTTTAGCTCGTTTACAAGGTTTCTTTTTATTCTTTTGTGTGTAGTTATCAAACATATTTAAAATGTACAGATAATCATGAGTCACAAAAAACATTCTCTTTAGCTTATTTCTGTAATGATTATTCACTCATATGTATGTTATAGCGTATAAAAGAAAACTATTGTCAAACTGTGACTGCAGAATTATTAATCAGTTGATATATTCTAAGTAAACATAGGACAAATAATCATGAGTTCTTGACAGCACATTTCATTTATCTTAAAAATATTGTATAAATAGATGTAGTGGTTTTTTATATACAAAATTCTCTTTTTTTTCTTATGGGATCTTTTTGTCTGATGAAAAATAAAATAGAGAAATCTTCGATAGTTTTTCGTCGCAACTTCTTCAACGCTATGCAAAATATACCACTCCAGCCACAACACATTAATCGACCCTGAAGAAAAATATGACTTGTTTTTTTTTCTGTCGCATTCTTTTTTGGTCTCCTACTCTTTTTTTTCTGTTCTGAGTTGACGTCGTTATCAAGCACACACGCACGCATGCGTCAGAAAAGAAAACAAGACGAGGAATAGAAAAAAGAAAAATTAGTCAGCATTGTCGTCAAAGTAAAACATAAAAGTGGCCGTTTTTTTTTCATAACCCTTTAGTTTCAACACAAAACTATTACAAAGATGAGTGGCTATCCGTATGGAAATCCAGGCGGTGGTTATCCACCCCAATATGGTTCAGGTAATACTGGTTATCCGAACTATCCACCAAATAGTGGTTTTCAATCACAACCACCAATGCCTTCATATAATGATAATCAATCATGTGCATCTCTCTATGGTACACCAGCTCCTATGCCAAATAATATTAATTATCCATCAGGACCCTATGATTCTTATGGTGGAAATCAGATGCCAAATGCACCTTATAGTATGGGTGGTGGTAGCAACTATCCACCACCACCAGCAGTTGGAGGACAACCGCCGCCACCTATGTACAATCAACCTCCACAACAGTTTGCAGGTAGAAAATGACAAAAGTTTAAATTAATAAATTATTTTCTATTATAGGTTATGGAAATCCACAATATCAACAACCTCCACAACAATACGGAGGTAACAAAAAAAAATATGAAGAAAATTTTTAAAATCAGTAACTTATATTCTATTGTAGGATTTGACAATTCACAATATCAAACACCTTATCCTCCACAACCTCCACAACCTCCAATGCCTTCGTCTGGTGGAATGTATCCAAACGTACCAGGGCCAACAAGTTATGGTGTAAGTAATAATTCATCTGTATTATTCTTTGAATAATTCTCTTAATATTGTTATAGGGAGGAGTACCACCTTCTTCATATCAACAATCAGGATTCTATCCACAAGAACAACAATCAATTCTACTTGCTAGTTTAGAACAATATCAAGGCACAGTTTTTCCAATACCAAATTTTAATGCTGAAGCTGACTGTCATGCACTTAGTAATGCTATGAAAGGAGCAGGTAAAATATATATTTATATATTTATATGAATATAATTATTTTATTTTCAAGGTACAAATGAACGTGCATTGATCGATATTATTGCCAATCGATCAAATTTTCAACGTCAACAAATAAAACTTCATTATAAAACAATGTTTGGTGTTGTATGTATATTTATTCAATTTACTTGAATAAAAATACTAATCTTTTTATCAATTTAGGACTTAGTTAAACAAATTGGTGGTGAATTAAGTGGTCATTTTAAAGAAACTATTACTGCTTTATTTGATGCACCTGCAAATTATGAAGCATGGTCATTACATGAAGCTTTTGGCGTTAGAATTTTATTTATATAAATAATTGATATTCAAATGTTATCTTTTATAGTTAGGAAAAGAAGGAACTTTACGAGAAATTTTACTTACAAGAACTAATAGTGAAATTCGTGCTATTGTTGATGCATACAAACGAAGTAAGAAAAAAAAAAAAAAAAAAAGAAAGATATTAAATTACTAGTTAATTAATTCAATGTTTGAAACTTAATAGTGTACAATAAAGATCTTGAACATGACATTAGTCATCGTGTACGAGGAACAGACTTTAAACGTCTGCTTGTTTCTGCTGTACAGGTAAAATTATTTCTATTTTTGAATTTATGAAATTTATATGAATATTTTTTTTGTAAGGGTAATCGTGAAGAATTAAATCCACAACAAATTCAACAAGCTCGTCAGGCCGGTATTGAAAGTGTAATTGATCGGTAAAACTAACATTTCCTTCTTCTTTTCAAATATCGATTTTATATTTTCTTTAGTAATCGTGCTCGTCAAGATGCTGATGATTTATATAAAGCTGGTGCTGGTAAATGGGGTACAGATGAAAAAACATTTAATGCTATATTTTCTCGACGTAGTTATTATCAACTTCGTGCTACATTTGAAGAATATCAAAGAGTAAATTATTTTCAAAACAAAAAAATAAAATAAATGTTTTTTTTTTTTTGTGTTTCATTTAGAAACATGGAAAAGATATTGCACAAGTCATACGATCAGAATTTTCTGGTGATACACAAGATGCTTATCTTGTTTTAATATCATGTATACGTGATCGACCAACATTTTTTGCTGAACGTTTACATAAAGCAATAGCTGGCTTAGGTACAAGAGATTCAACACTTATTCGTGTTATTGTTTCTCGTTCAGAAGTAAATAATCATAGAGAAAAAAATTTTTTAATCAAAATTTGTTTTTTTTTTTGCTTTTTAGATTGATCTTGCACAAATTAAACAACGATATCAACAATTGCATAATCGTCCATTAGCTCAAGCTGTTGGAGGTGATACATCAGGAGATTATAAAAGAATTCTTTTAGCAATTATAAAATGAAATCTTTAATCAATGAAGAAAAAAAGAACGTTTTTTTTTTTTCAAAAATGCTTTATTAATTGCATGTTTAAATAAATTTATTTGCCGGATAAAGGAGTTGTAATACTTGCAAGTAATTGTTGTGCCAATAATGCATGATTATTATTGCTTAGAAGAGCTTGAAATGTCGCTTGATCCAATGCTCCTACATACTAATCATATAAAAATTTTTTATTCAAAAATTTTTTCTCCTAACCTGTTGCTGTAACACCTAATAATCCTTGAAGAGTAGTCCAAGCTTGTGTAGCTCCTACTCGATAACATAATGTATAAAAAGCATTGGTAAGGGCTGATTGAGGCCACCATTGATTGAAAAATTGTTGAGCTTGATGACATTGAGTATGATTGGAACTTATAATTTAAAAATATTATTTAGTAAAATAGTTTCAACAACTTACCCACCGTGGCCATGACCATGCCCATGTCTGCCAGCATGGATCAATTGTATGGTAACAAAACTTAATAGCAGAAAAACAAAAAGAATGTTCCACTGACTCATATGCATGTTGTTTTTTTTAAGAGAGTTGTATATTGTTTGGAAGAAAAGCAGAATATATATATATAGTCTTGTATTTCAATTATAAATCAATGTACTTTGAAGCCGTTAGGTAAGCTTAACAAAATCAAAGCCTAGTATTATCAATACCTACGTAATGAACTGAAACAAACTATTTAAATTACGTTTTTACTGTTTTTTTTTGTCAAAATGTATCTGCAAAATTTTAATTCACGTTTTCGATAATAAATGCTCTTTTTCATGTAATTTTTTTTTTTCGCATGGTATTGAAAAAGATCAGTTGAAACTGTTCAAAGACGATATGATACTGATTGATGCTACAATCTCTAAGAACTATGAATACATTTTCAATAAGTATACGCGTATAAAAACGCTAAATAGTAGTTATTGATCGATGGCTCTTACTAGAGTATATAGATCTTTGGAAAGCATCTGTTAATTTTAAGATCGAGTTTTGAAAGAGCGTCTCGATGCTTTTTTAGCTGAATTTCTACATCGATAAATATCTAGATTATGTTCGATTTCAGTTCAACCGTTTTGTAATATAGTACGCTTGATATAATGATGCAACTAGCAAAAATTTTTCATTCTTCTTCTATACGATTCGAAAATGAACAGAAGTTTCTTAAAAACAAAGAGAAAATCAAAATAAATGTGAGTAAATAATAAATTTCGTTTTTTCAATGATGCACAAAAAAGAAAAGGTAGGTAAATACGAGAGTGTTATGATAGTGTAGTATTACATCGAGCCAAGGAAGTCGATATAGAGAACCATTTAGACATTGAATATTTAATAAAAAAAAAAAGGAATTCTTATCTTTTGGCTAAATTAGTTTTCACATAAGCTAAAAAATAAATTCATCAATGTGATAATAATCTTGCAAAAACTAAACATTGTTAGTTATTTGTTTTTCTTTTAATGTAATTCGGTTCATATCCGTTCCGGTTAATACATTAAAACTAATGTTGATTGTTTGTTATAATGGTTCACATTAGATAAAACAATAACATCACAACATGAATTAATGAAAAAAATCATATTTAAATGATTATCAAACAAACCAAAATCAAAAATGAAAAGTAAAAATTCGAAATAGAATATGATGAATAAATTGTACAACAGCATTCATAAAATTTACATTTATCAATACCAAAATCATAGTGTAAGACTTTATGAAACTTTCCTAATCGAAAAGCATTAACAGTCGGTGGTAATTCATCAACGGAAACATATGTTTATGTATTTCCGTACTTTCACAATGACAACAACTTCATCGTATTTCGAATTTTACTCCTACTGAGATTGTTCTAGTTTTTATTTACTTCATCAGATAGCATTCACGAAAAAAAAAACTTTTCAATATTAATGTTGCTTTTGAATTTCTATATTCTTACACATCAAAATATTCATAGATGAACATCTTTCAAAAGTATTACAACAAAGCAAACATTTCAAATGTTTATATTTATCAACCAAAAGTAACTAAAGTATGATTTGTGACTGTTCCGAATACATAAAGATGGATAAGAACAATTTGTAGTTGTTCAAAAACAAAAATAAAAAGTGAAATATATTACATACACATTTACTAATAAATGCCATTTCAAAGATACTTCCCATGCAAAAGACTTTATTAATCATGAATAAATTATTAAAAGTTATCTTTGTTTTTTGTTTTATAATTCATATTTGATCACAATAAATACATTTGGTTTTTAATATCATTAGACATATGATAAATTCTTTTGAACGACATCTATACTTCTATTATTAATTGCTGTCAGGGTAACAAGTTTTACATTATTTTGATAAGCGATGGTTAACTGAAATCTTATATATTTCATTCATCAATAAGACAACATGTTGTTTGGTAAGAGTTTCTTTGTTCTTTTTTGCTATTATATTCTTATGCTATTTTGATTTATTATTGTCTTTGCATGATTTGCTTTACTTGCTATGCTCAGACGAAGAACCTACTCGATCGAATATTGCTTTTGGCACAACATTTCTCAATCGTCCAACGTTTCCTAGCAATATAGCACATGATTATTTTGGAAATAGTCACACGCCATTACGAGGCGTACCAAATCTGTAAATTATTTTATTTTATTTTTCTTCTTGCTAGCTAATTACTTGCTTTTATATGCTCTTCTTTTGCTTTTTTAATATATATATATATAGTGGACCAAGTTCATATAATAATGAGGAAAAGACATCATTACAATATGTTCTTGAACATCAACCGATGAGTCGTCGTGGTTATACAGTCAATGCTCGTACAGAAAAACGAGAAGTTTTTTTACCGAAGGTGATCTCAGATAAAAGAGTTGCTTGATTTGTTATTGTTTTGTTTTGTTGCAAATTTCTAACAAATAAAACGATAGTTTATATTTTTGTTTTTTTTAACTATTTAAATAGACTGATGTACCAAGTCCAGAAACTTATCAAATGGATTTAAATATAATACCAGAAACGAAACGAGCATTTAAACCATTTAATGCTGCTTCTGTTAGATTTCCAATAGTTGCTCGAAGTACTGATGTTCCTGGGTAGCTAATTTAATCGATATTAGTTTTTCTTTGCTCTTAAAATATTTCCTTTTCTTTTTTTTTTATTAATGAAGACCTGGTAGTTATGAATGTGATGTTAAACAAAATCGTCAAGTACATATGCTTCATAGTTTTGGTGGTCGAACTAAATTGATACCAGCTATTAAAACGAAATGTATGCCATTGAATAGAGATAAGGTTTGAAATATAATTAAAAGATTTGTATAGAATTTAATTTAATGATTTTTAGTGTGTAATTTGTCTTAAACAACCTATTGGAGATTATTATCAATATCGGAATGAAATATTATGTGGTGATTGTTTTAATTTTAATTGGCAATGGCAAGAAAAATTTAAAAGAACGTAAGTTAAATTATTAAAATAAATACAATAAAAATTTTTAATTTTTTTGTATAGATATCTTCAAGCTTTTCAAAAAGTTCGTGATTGTTCACATGTACATGAACATTCCGGTACTTCTGCTCGGATTCAAGTATTAAATAATTCATTTTTTTTTTTCTTATATTCTATTTTCAATTTCATTTAATTTTAGCTTGTCGACAATCGAATTATGAAAAAACTTCAACGTAAAGAAGCTTATTTGAGTCTTTATTGGCCATGAACAATATTTTTTTTTTTTTCATTTTAATAAAAATAAAAATTTCGTTTTTTCAATATTTTCTTTTACTTTTATATTATATGTGAAATAATATTTTGAAAACAAAAATACGTCTTGTCAATCATGCCATGGATAAAACATTTTATTTCTGAATATTTAAAACTAATCAATATGAATAGTAGTAAGCATGAAAAAAAGAAAAATTTATAATGATTCATTATTTGTTAATGAGATAATATGTGCTAAATTACTTTCGAGACCATCAATTTGTTGACCCATATCATCAACTAAGAAGAAAAATAAAAAATTGAACTTTGTATTAAAATGTATTATTTATACTTCTTTTCATAATTGAATCACTCATTTGACCGAATTTTTCTTGAATTTGTGTCATTGTATCTTGAATCTAATATAGAAAATAAATATTTTTACATAACAAAAGAAGTAAAATTTTACAAAATCAGCAAGTTCTTGAACATTTCGAGGTTCACGTAGAGTAAAATCTATACTTGTCGTCGAACTCGCCATAATCAATCAACAAAAAAAAAGCTGTTGTCTTAATGTTTCTTTTGTTCGACTATCAATAGTAATAAAACAAATAGAATTGTATGTTTCGTACCTATCCTGCAGCGATGTACATCGACAGAAGCTATGACTATCGTTTATGGTTTTTTTGTTTCTCATAGAAATAAGAAACAATTAAAAGAATGAAATTTTTTTTTTCTTTCGTTCTTTATTCTTAAGGCAAAACTTTAAAATAAACATCAATCGTTAACAAGTAGTAATTGAATACTGACTATTGCATTATAAAAACTTGAATAATATTCATATACAACAATAGAAGATACAAAAGAAAGTAAATTCATATAGAATTTCAATCAAAAATAAGTGTCCAAAGATGAGTTATTATTATTGATTAACTATTCGATATTTGACATTGATATAGATTTCTATGACCTGGGAAACTTTTGATGATCTAATGTTTCCTTTTATTTGAACAATATATCATACTAGCATAAATGAAAATTTTCTTTTACATAGCATTTTTTTATATGATTCATTCTGATGAAATAAAAAATAACCAACCAATTTCATCATATCAAAGTAACTTAACATTGCTTTGTTATTGTGTCTGAATTATGCAATTACCATGTGGTTAATGTCAATACTTTACATTCATTTCTCTTTCTACATATTAAAGTTACCATCGTCAAAGCTATGTCTAATTCAATAACACATAAAACAGCACTTTGTTTAATTCCACCGGAAAATGTTTGGGAACAAATTCAATCAATTCGATCAATATATGATAAAGCTTATCCACGTTGGATGCCACATATTAATTTAATTTATCCATTTATATCTGAATCAGAATTTAGTAATATAAAACTTCTATTAGAATCAAGTGTTAATCAAAGAAAACCATTTGAAATTGAATTTGATAAAACATCATTTGAATATTTTAAACAAAAAGGTAATGAATGTACATTTCATATACGACCAAAAATAAATAAAAATGTCGTTGAACTTCAACGAATAATAGAAGATATTTTACCAAATTATTTAAAAAGTACACGTCCATTCGAAGCACATCTTACACTTGGTCAAACAACAACATCAAGAATATCAGATATGTTTATTGAAATGAAAGCTAAATGGAAACCAATTAAATTTATTATTGATCGTGTTTGTATGATAAGTCGTGAAAATAATTCTGATGATTTATTTACTATTAAAAATCAAATACTTTTAGTTGGTTCAGAAGAAGAACAAGATCATAATGAACAATATATTCATATTGAACAACCTTTAGTAAAAGAAATTCGTTCAACTTTGACTACAAAATATTATTTATGTATAATACCACCAAATGAATTTTCTGCACGTCTTTTATATTTATTTGAAGATACATCATTTCGTCCACTTAAACCATTTCAAATTATTCTTGCTGAATATGATTGTATTCCGAATGAATCTGATCTACGTTTAAAAATTGGATCAATACCAAAATTTACAATTGATTTTGGTGCACGATCAATTTGTTTTAATTATTCTACATCACGTCTATTTCTTAAACCAACTAATATTGAATTTATTCAACGATTAAATTTAAATAATGATAAAAATTTTGATGGAACATTAACATTAGGAGAATTAGATAAAAAAGATTTAACTGAAATTGGAAATCGATTTACACAAAGTTGGACATTTAATACTAATGAATTTGAAATTGATCGAATATATTTAATTGATTCGAATGGACGTTTTCAATATAATTTTTCATTGAAAAGCCAATGTTTTTCATAATAAATTTAACGATATAAAATCGCTTTTTTTTGTTCTCTTAAAACTATTTTATTGGATGAATTCTTGTTTGACAAAATTTAAATAAGACACTTTTTTTTAATATTTCATTCGAATACAGAATTAAAAATAAACTGTATCCAAGTCGAACAGACTAAACAACAAAAATGCACAAATGCTCGTACAAAGTGGATTTACATTGACAGTTATATATGAGCCATCTCAAGCAAAACAGAACATAGTCATCTTTCATATTGACTTTCATTCGTTAAAAGAATTTGTCTTTCCGAAATAAGCTTATTTACGATAGACATATGTGAAAATGTTGACTCTTTTCAATTAAGTACTGAATAGCACGTCTATAGTGAAATTTTCAGTAAGATTGGACTCCAAGAAACTGACTTGGTGTGCTATATCATAACGCTAATGAAAAGTAAATAGATTTGTTTTAAAGTGTAGATATGCTCAGTAGAAAAAACTTTGAATAGTGATCTTTTTAAATTAATATTCATGAAGTGAAAGCCAACGTTCTTCGTCGTTCGGTTTTTACTGATAACTTCTTTGAAGAAAGATCTCTAGCGTTGATTTTTCCAAGGTATCTAGAGTAATTTAACATACATAAACATCATCGCTAAGAAAGTTCTTTATCGAGAGATTCATTTGTCTTAGTGTTGCAGAGTCACGTCACTAACGAATATTTTGATTGGAATTTATTGTGCGTTTAACTAAAAATTTGATAATAGAAAAAAGACATTGACTTGGATTGATTTTAGAAAAAAGGTTTTGACATTAGCATTTATAATTTCTTAAAAAGATAATAATAAAAATGTTCCTCATGCTTCCAGAAAAAAATATTCCTTTTTCTTGCAAAATTTATTATATAAACAAACGGAAGGATGTATATGTGTCAAGAAAAGGTTCTCAATCACGCATTCATCCCTTAGATAAAATGCTATACAAATTGTATGCTAGCAACATTTCAATATATTCGATCATTTCTTAACAGATGAAGAAATCTCTCTCATATGAACTGTCGTTAGCAATCTTTAACTCACAGTTTCATTGAAATCAGCGAACTACTATTGATAAAATCTTCTTTGACATTTTTTTTAATAGAGTCAAACCTTTAGAGATTATAATGATTTTTTCTAAAAAACTTTAAAGATGACAATATTTATCAAAATGAAAATTGTATATCATAAACAGTTCGTTCATGGATTGAACTACTCGAATGTATTTGGAGAGAATACCATATATATATTATTCTTCAGTAATACTGATTAAAGAGCCACTATTCGGTCAAAAGACGTTCATCTAAATGCGTAAGCACAAGCAAAAACAACACAACCATAGTCTATCTACGGAATTTCCACCTCATATTTTTCAAAAACTGAGTGCTTGTGAACCATTAATTATTTTGAAAACTTCTCTTTGGAGATAGTTTATATGCAGTACACAAGCTTGCCATTGGATACAGAAGACAACCGTGATTTGTTTCTTTCAATTTCTTGAATATGTGAGCGCTGTCATATAGTCAAACCTTTTATACAATAGACCACAAGGAAATTTTTCTGAAAATATGCAAACGTTAGTCATCAATCGTAATTTTCTTTAGAACTTTCAGCAATTCTTTTTGTAAGTTTATATATGTCAAATTAAACATGAAAGAAAAACGTTCTTGGTCTCATGATTAACTTATTCAACATTTCTTCTTGTAATTTGAGAAACAATGACCACAGTAAGCACCTTGATCAGACTGTTTATTGACTGCACGTGCCGATACATTACCAATTTTACCATTATGTGCCTTGCTATAGACAGCATTGTCTGCACAGCAACCGCCTGAGCGTCCTACACACTGATGCGTGTGCACATATTCCCTGTCGTGATAACCTGTGCAGCACCCTCCCATCGCTGACCGAATAAATGTGCAACATAAGAGAAGAACACAGAAAATTATCAGCGATAATTTACCAGTTAACATCATTAATAAAAATTTAGAGTAAAAAATAACTTGAATCAATTTGGTAGACGACTATGATATTCGTTGAGTGCGTTGCAGACTTTTTATAGCATCATATTAAAAATTGTATGATGTTTTATAGTTTTTTGTTACATTTTTTTCGTCGAATAAAAAATATTGAAGCTGTAAGCCATTGATGAAACAATCACAATGATTGTGTTTCAATTGAAGATTAGTTTCAAAACCGTAGCACCTGATATCGATATTTATTGTCTTACATATTTGTTCGATCTCGTAGAAATTAATACAAGAAGAATGAAGGATATGAAGCCATAGATGATTAGATTCCTTTTCAAAGCCAAATATAACTTCGCGAAAAATTGCGCATCAATAGAAAATTCATTTGATAAGTTTTTTGCATACGTGGCACAGTTGTGCACAATTAATTTGATTTTGAGTGCATGATTTCGACATTGATATGCATATGAGCGTGAGTTTAATTCTTCAATAGTTCACACCCACACCTTCATTCACTTAAACGAAAACCTATCTCGTTTCGAATTTATGCAAATTTTCACCGCTACTTATTCTAATCTCGAAAAGATTCAAATGAAATACAAAACTGTTTCAATAAATGCTGCTTCTTAATTTATCGTTAATATTTCTTCACACGTCACGTAGATCGATTTCCTCCAGAAAGCACATCGACACTCCACTGACGAAGGATTCGATTTTCTTCATTCAGCAGACTTATAATATTATTTAAATATTAGAACGAAGGTTGAATTGCTATTATCCATATCGTCATTAGCTCTAGTAATGAAAATTTTTCATCTAATAACAATCTAACGAAATATCTGTAGCAAAGAACTGTAGCTATGTCTATTTAAAAATATTTCACTATATTGAAAAGGAAATAGAATCGATTAATCATGATAGCATGCATACTTAGAAGTACGTTTTAAACAACGACGAAAAACAAGATTGTCAACATAAAATGATCATGAGTTTCAAGATAATTCAAAATCGATGAAGCATTTCATAATATATTCAATTGACTCTGAATTCAGTCTGAAACAATCTTAATAGTGGTATTTTTGGATAGCAAACCTTGGTTTTATCGTTATTCCTATTTGACTGAGTATCCTAATAATATCAAATAAAAGAAGTGCATTTAAGATGTTGTAAACACAATTTAGAAAATATAGATGTTTATCATAACAGATTGGACAAATACAAAGGGATAATTTTTGTATGAATTTCATGTCGCCCAGAAATAATATCAAATTCTACTTTAATAATTCGAAAACGTATTCCAGCTCTTAATAAGACTTCTCGTTCATCCTGAAAATATGTATTTTCTTTTAAAATTATATATTGATATATGCAGGAATAACGTTCAATTTTGATGACATACAAAATATTTATTGAAAACACTTGGGCAACAGTACGATCAAATGACGTGGAAACGATTAAATTCCATTTGAAATATATTTCTTTTCGATCAGTTCCTTGACGATATTCTGCAATTAATTTATCCGAAACATGATCACCACGATAGACGGTTATTGAACGAGATTTATTTCTGTAAAATATTAGTAGACAACAATGACGTTTTGTATGACGGCCAATATAATTATATAGAAGATAACCATAAGGACCTAGCGTATCAAGTTTCGTTCCATCATCGTCACGTAATGCATTATTAACGATATGAAATAGAAAAGAATCTTTGGTATATAATTTAATGCAACAATCTTGTAAGTTTTGCATTTGTTTCTTTTCAGTCATCTTATGAGATTCATCTTTAATGACATTCAAAATACATACAATGTCGTTAACAGCATATTCCGAATGTGTACGTCCTTCATATTTCAAACCGTTAATAAGTGCAGGGAATATATTATTGAACTTCATATCAAGTTTTCCATTAGTAAATTTTAACAATCATTCGTGAACAAATGGTGAACCATCGTAAGTTGTATTCGTACTAATATTACATCGTGAAGTCCAGCCTAATATAATGGGAACTCTTGCACGATGGGTAGAATTAATTTGATGAACAGAAATCAATTTTGTTGGCGGGACTATGATGATGTTCGATTCCAAACACTCAAAGTTTAGTTTGATAAAAACTTTCTTTATGCACGTACGAATTTTGCTTGACTATTGTATGATTAATGAATCAACATGACAACTTAAAATTCTCTATCATGAAAAATAGTTCATCTAGAAAGGAAAATCTATAAGAATAGATGTGTAAATTTTTAATAAGAAAGTTGTATGATGCATATTCTTCGAATAATTCAGTATGATGTATGATTGACCTCTTTATATTATTATTTATTACTCGTATACTGAAAAAGTACAATGACGTTGGTAGAAGGATATACTGAATAGTTCTATTCTGTTGATAGCTTATTTAAATATAATTATCTGGCCAGCGAAAACAAACAACAATGGATCTTTTGTTCTTTTACATTAATGTAAGATGAAAAGTTCTTTCATTTTTGTGAGAGTTGTAATGGGTGTCTGCGATGTAATATGTTCAACTCTAACTTATTTGCTGTGAATAAACCAAAATCGATTTCAAACGTAGTTAATTGAGTATGATCTGTATAAGGTAAAAGTTATTGCAAAACAAACTAAGACGAACCTATAGAGAATATTTGTAATCATTTGACAACTGACGAAATATAGCTTGAGTGTCATGATAAGCAGAATAAAAACGTTTATTAAATTTTACTGATTAAATGATGAATAGTGTTTTGAAGTCACACTATTTCTATACTTTGCTCGACAGCTCTCTTTCCGTACCATAAAATATCATTTGGAAGAAGATGTATCAATGATATTTACCCAAGTGAAATCTGAGAATCACTAAAGCTACCTTAAATGCATTTCATACGTACATAATAGTTTTCATTTTGATTTTTGACCTATCATACATCACTGCTTCTTCTTCAAAGAAATGAGAAAAAAAAATATTTTAAGCTAAAATCAAATAGATTCATCAATTGTTTGAGGCACGTATTTGATATAATCCATAGAAAAGCAACGTACATTGCCGCTAAGTAAAAAGAAAGTACTGTTGATAAACTTGTTTTAAATAAACAAATACAAAGGTGCAATTCAATGGTTACCGTATCACAGATTGAAGATCCTTCAGTCAAGAGAAAGTCTAGGGTACGATGTACCTGAAATACAAATTGGCTGATTTCATCAAATGAATCGTAAGGAATAATGATATAAGATATAAGAGTAACATAATGTTTTAAAAGTGAAAGATATTAGCGAATGATTTTTTTTCTAGCTGACGAAAAAATTGTTTTATATTTCTAATCGATCATATTGATGTATCCGTTATTGACACTAAATTACCAATTTAATTCCTTGATGAAATAGTGAGGGTATTGGTGTGGGTGAACGTATCTTTGTGTTGAAAACTCACACCATTCAGTTCAGGTTTTAAACATTAGTGCACAGTAATTTCATGCGAGAAATAAAATCTAGTCACAAATATTGGTGTAGTAGATGTATGAGATATTCGAAATCAGCATATCAAGCTGTATCGAATAACATAGATTGTGTTACAAAGTATTTTTGATCGAAATTCGATTCGAGCAGGTACCGTGCGAAATCTCTTTGTATAAGCCATAATAGAGGTAGAGATCAAATTCCGATGAGAAATATTTTGTAATAAAATCTGTTTTTTTTTTTCGATTCAGTTTTGTATGCTGATTTCGAATATCTCGTACAAGATATTTGAAAACGAAATTCTGATGATCAAGTTATTCAAACATGAGGCCATTTTTAATTATTTTGGAATACGAGCTAAAGGGATTGTTGAAGTGTACATTAGTAGAATTTTTCACTCACTCCCGCTCTTCCTTCCTCCTGCAAACTGTGACAGAAAAACTTCATACCCATCGCAGACCATGAAAAACAGAGTTCAAAGACCGTCACAGACGACAACGGATGATTTCAAGGATCTATCAAGAATTATGTATAACCAACATGCAAATGAAATTTATATATAGAGTATTTCGCTCAAGGAGGAAACAGTGTACTTCGTTGTAATTCTGAAAGTACTTTGTTGTACTTTAAGCTCCTTTTGATGTAACTTCACGATACTTTGCTGTACTTGAATTCCGCTATTTCCCCCTTATTTTCGCTGTTGAAGTTTATTGCGGTAGGGTAAGAAATGAGGGCAAAATATGCTTCAATATGGTACATAGACATTTGAGCCTCGACAATGGAGTCTCTTGACTTTTGAGCCTCCTACAGGTAAGTCTGACCAAGTGAGTAAACCTTTCAGGTGAACTTATTTGAAACCTTCGGAGTAAGTACTGTTGAACTGATTGTTGATGTAAGGGTGGGTGGGTGAAAGAAAGGACAACACTCACACCCCACACACTTCCATTCCCATCCACACACCACACCCACATCCTACTATGCTTCGTTATCCGATGTCAACAAAGGAAAGTCGGTGAAATAGAAGTAAAGATCATGTGATACATAACTTTTTTGTGCTACCAACTTTTCTTATGCTCTCTTACAAATTTTTTAAATGAAAAATGCGTTCAGAGTACTGAACCCATGGCTGCTAGACCAATAAATCTGTGCAGACGTCTTTTTTGCTCCATTTCAAAGGCTTGTTCTGAATGAACTAACTTTAATTCAGATAAATATTCTAAATCTTTCCTTAGAAAATGCTTGAAATTCTGCTTCTAGCTGCTTATTTTGGATTCTGTTCACTAGCTTATAAGCCAACGATAGTTAAGCAAATATTGCGTGCCAAAAATTCCACTACAATTTAATATTCAGCAACGATGGATGAATTTAGTTGGAGTTATCATTGAGATGCAATTGTCATTCATATTGTTTTTTTACTTCCAGCAATATCTCAGACTAGATCTCTTTAGAAAGGAATTTTCCATACTTTTTACTTGCATGTGAAACACTGAGAAATTCCAGAGTATGATGTATCCCAAAATCGCGCAACTGAATCACGAATGCCATAAAATCGTAGAAAATTAACAATTATTTGCGAGTAATCGAAACAATATGTGAAACGAACCTTTTCGATAATGAGATAGGCCGTCTTTGCTGTGCTTTTTCAAAAATGAATGCATCTCTGCGCACATTCTTCAGTGCAAGCACTTGGCTATTATTTTTCCTTTCTGCCTGTGAATCTGTTCTTCAGTGACACCCAAACACATTCACATTTAGATTTCATCAATAAAAATTTTCAGACTGGATCTTAACAGGAATATAACTACATGACATTAAAGTTCATCTATGTCTTAGATGCTTCAGATAAAGCTGCACAATGCAATATCTTTCAGATTTCTGATAGCTTGAACAATATCGCTTATATCATAGCCCAATGGATTCATTACGATCTATCAATGAAGAAGAAAATACGAACCGAAATCGGATTCTTGTTGGCATTCGCCTCATGTTTATTCGTATTGGTGAGTATCTGATTAAAGATCATCTTTATCAAATATAATTTGTAAGACTAAACCAGATTTTGAGCCAATTAAATGTGGTCGAGTATAGTATCAAGTGCTATTCGTCACGAACGATGTACTAATTATAAGAATTTTGGTTAAATTTAATAATTTTCATTAGCAGCAACCAGTGAGTTGAGAAATCGAGAGAGACTTAATACACTTATCATATTTTATCTATTGACTTTCACATGAAATTACATTATCGAAACAAAACTGAATGATCAATTAGCACTGTAGTTTATGGTAAACTTAACAATATTTTTCCAACTGTTTATAGGATATGTTTCGTGCAGACATCAGAGATAATAAAGAGAATTTAATTTGGCAATAAGATTAAGTATCAAGTTAATTGTAAATATCTGTGTCTGATAAGCTGTTAACCCTTTGGATACGGGTTTAATTTTACAGATGTAATACTACGAAAAATATTTTCGATGTTAAAACACATATTTATTCACTCTATATGTATATCACGACGAAGAGTATAGAAGAAGAAATCCACTGTCACAAAGAGAAAAAAGACAATCGACGGACCTCCCATAGATAGTTGGACTGACATCACCGCTAACAATCAGGTTTGATATATGATACTCCCGTAGCCAAAGGATTAATGAATATAAAAAGGTGGTATAAAGTTGTAATTCTATGAGATTTTTTTGTTCACCAATAAATAACAAGAGATAAGAAAAAGCTAATAGTACTCAATAGTTAGTAGCAATGAATAAAAAGACTGTCATATCAGTACTAAAGTGATTAGGACACAAATATGATTAATCAATTGATGTAGTTATGAATATATTAGTGCATCGTATTCAGTCATTACTTATGATTATCAGAATCTAAGCTATCAGTTTCAAGTGTTCCATTGTTTTTGTGATGATAATGCATTAAATAAAGTTCTACTCGATAATCGATCGATATTTCTGATAAATATGAGCAGAACAGCACAAAAATTCATTAAAAATTATGGTACAAGCCATCGAATATTCAGAAGTGTGTGTCCAACTAAAATATTCGACGCTGCAAATTCTGATTCGACAGCTGAATTTCGATATCATTTCGCCAGTCTGAGCATGATTCCTATTGTTTTGTTCAATTTCGTATCTATGATCGAAAATAAATACAAGAAGTTACTTTTCATTGATCTACTCTCTGTCTTTATCAGGCGAAATTGATACATTAAATGAGAAATATCAAGCACAAGCATCAATCGAAGCTCGTTGGGTAGTTCCATCAGTCAATTTCTTTTCAACTCTTTCACCTCTTGATCAAGATGCTTTCAATCGAGGAAAATCTGTATCTCTTATCAAATATACCGAGACAAATTGGCACCCTCAATTGTTCATCGAAAATGCTCTGGGTGATTTGAAAGAACAAATAAGATACACTGCAAGAAAAACATCAAATGATCAAGCCTGCATATGTGAACATCGTGACATTAAAGGACTTTTTTGGGAAAAACTTGAATTGAATCATTTTCCATCTGATATTCAAGAATTATCAGTTTCTGTTGGTTCAATGTTCTATAATGACAGAGTACTATTAATGCCGGATCCATATTATCGTAGTGGAGTAAATCATGAAGCATTCGTTGACCAACAAGAATGGAAATTATATCAACATGTAAATGTACAGCAACGTTTTGTTCGAGAATTTTTTGAAAGTATTGGCGACGACGAATATGATGACATTAACTCAAATGAAGGACGCAAACGTTCACTTGTGTCTGTATCGTGTCATGTAGGTTAGCATTCTGTTTAATACTTATAAATAGTCAATACTTTGAGTTAATATATTTTCTAGCACGTCGTTCTGGTTATTTTTATTGGAATGGTTACTGCTTGATTTTTCTTATTACTATTTTTGGCTTTTGCGTCTTTTCAATACCGGCCAAGTATGAATTAAGATTGGCATACTCATGTCTTTCATGATTCGCTTTCTTTCTAATTTTATTTTCGTTTAGTCTCACGCCAAATCGTCTTGCTATTGGAGCTACTCTACTTCTAACTTCAATCACTTTTCGTTGGACAGTGAATCGATCTCTTGTAAGTAGCAATTGTATTTCTGGAACATAGCTAGTTTTAGCTCGTAAAAAAGGTCCTAAAGTGAACCTTTTTGTAAACGAAAACATTTTGATTTTTTCTATATTGAAAAACTGCGGTATCTAAAATCTTAACATTTTATCTTTCGAAATATATTCAACTTTAAATGATCGTATTCTAGCCAACAATATCTTATTTGACATCATTGGATAAATATGCCATCATCTCGATTTTTATACTTGTTTCTCTGTCTGTGTGGCATGCGATTATTGGCACTATAATTTACCTTGACAATCGTCTCTCAGGAACAACTGCACTTGATCGCAATTCTTGGATAGATCGTTGTGTATTGATTGTCGTTTTTAGTCTCTATATTACCATGCACGTGATCATGTTTATTTGGCTATATCGAGTTCCTTTTGCCAGTAGACGAGAATGGGAACGAAAAGATATTCAACATAGAGAAAAACTATCCAAACAATCGAAGGAAGCTCAGTTGCTTAAGTGGGCATATGTACTCGACTTATGGAATACGAACGATGATAAGAACGAATACGAAATGCCGAAACCTGCCGTTAACACCCTGAGAGTATAGACACGGTCAACGGATCAAATCGAATGAAATATAATTGATTTTTATCGAGAACGATATAATTCAAAATCTACTTCTGAAAAATGAACCAAATAACATTTTATATATGTGCTGTGTTGGGATAATATATAATATAGACGTTTTACTTTATTTTTCTTATATCTTATTTCATAAATAATTAGCTGAAATCTTTATTGCACTTTGTTAGCTAGACTTAAGTATATCGTTTTGATCTCTTTTACACTAAATGATTCATGGGCATTGTTGATTAATTCAAATATTCCGAATATTGTATGCACGAAAGGTGTGGGTGTGGATATGGGGTATGATTAAAAGGATTTTTATAACCACACTCACATCCGCACCCTCAAATGAAAGTGATCTCTCGGCTTGACATTTTTCTTCACGATTTCAATTACAACTATTTATATTGCTTTTTAGAGATAACTATTACTGAGTTGTATTGACTACGTCAGTTTTTGGAAGAAGAAATCTTCTTTAGATTTAATACAATAATTTAAGACCTATTTTCAGTGATGTTGCCGAAGAAAAATATGATATTTCTGTTAAATAATTATTGTTTATGTTTTATTTGAAGTCTCTACTTTATCAAACTTCAAAGAATTATTAATTTTCAATTGGTAATCGTTACCAATGATAAATAGAAGATTATTAGTGAATTTGATAGTTCTGTCAAAACTGCATTGAACAAAATGCTCCTCAGAAAAATCAATTTATTTCTGTCATATAACGCAGATAAAACATGAAATCTATTGTGTAAGTCAATGAAAGTTATTGAAATTCGATTGAGATGCATGGAAAAATATAAATTATGTTGATTGAGATAATCAAATCAATGCAGAAACAATTAATATAGATTATAGATTTAAAATTTCATTTGATTCGGTCGTTCTTTGCCATAGTTTCATGAATTTTTTCCATTCGAATCTAGTTCTTCGCTTTTTTGTTTAAAAATCGTTCTCTATCATCGAAAAACTATTTAGCTACCACTATCACAGGTGGTGACATATATTTGCAAATGACGTATAATTTAGTACGAGTCATTAGACATGATGACAGTGCCTCTATTTTATTTCGCTTTTAAATGTTGTTGAAATTGCGCTGAAACATTTTGGAAAAAAATTCGTTTTTAAGTTTGAATTTTGTTCTATTCGTAAAATGAAAATATGTGGCTTTTAATACCATGTATTTTAGCATAACAAGTCTCGACATCCTTGTAGATGCCTATGTACTGACACAGTTTTATTGCTTATCTGTTGGTTGCTAGATAATTCTTCTATTTGAAAGAATTCCTTTAGAGAAATGTCATCGTAATCATATTGAAAAAAAGAATAATCTAAATGATGTTCATCTAATACAATCAATCTTTATTTGAGTTATAGACACATCGAAAGCAAGAAAACATGTGTGCATGCATTAAAATATGACAATTGTGTTTGTGCAACTAAATAAAATCTCTTTTATATATTAATGTTAAAATTCAATGTTTTATATATGTGCTTCATTTTATCGATTTATCAATGTGTTTGTTGTTGCTATTGTCGCTACTTTATTCATACGCCCAGTTACACGCATGTATAAACCTAAGAATACTCTCTTACATTCTTGCCGGTAGCTATGTGAAGCTACAATAAAGATATAGAATGTTGCAGATGGATTAATAAATAATAGAAAGCTATTGCCCAAAAATATAATGAAATTTTCAATTTGTTGCCTTTGAACACTTTTAACTATGTTAGCTGTGACAGCTTTGTATAGAGTTGTTGCTGGAAAGAGACTCGTCGATATGACATAAACCAATACTTCACTCAACAACATAACCATAAGTGTATATTCACGTTTGTTACCATAATTTTTTTTGCTATTGAGTCGTACCTGTAATCGACGACGATTGCGAATAGCCAATAAACTAAATATGCTCATTGAAACTGGTGTAATAATGCCTGGTAATACAACAGTATAAATAGCCCATATAAAAGCAGTTGAACCAAGCATAAGACAATTATTTCCAGTGAATGTCATTACAAATGGAATATATATATTAATACAGGGCCATGCAATTACAATTCCAATAATAATACGAAGTGCCACTTTTGGATTGTTTAGTGAACGAAATCGTTGATAATTTGAACATAGTGCATATCGATCAATGCATGCAACTACCATCAATATTCGACCGATCATAATAGAACTGTGCAGAATATATAAACGAAGTTTGCAAAAAATAAATGAATATGTAGCCAAATCTGCATGATCTAAATTGTATATGATTGGAACGACACCCAAATTAGCAGAAAAAATATGCGAAATTGATATTGCGAGAAGATACAAACTACATGAATTGTATAAACGATTTTTCCGTGTAAACATAAATACATTGATCAGATTACCAAGTACACCAAGTGCGAAGTAACTACTCATGACATATCGTGTCATCCAGATACTAACATCATTTAATGATGCATTCATTTTAATTGAATATATCTTTCTAAATGATAAACTACAAAGAAAAAAAAAATAAAGTAACTTAGTGGACGATCATGCGTATATAATACTGAAAATTGAATGAAACTACAAGTATTCTATTTGATAAAAATCATCATTAATGTATATTAAATTTCCGATAAACTTCTTATGTTTGATATTTGGGAATGATCGTTCTCGTCGCTAAACTTATTAGAAAATAGATGAAATCTATAATGTTCCCGTTCAATTGTAATCATTTTATATAACATTTATTAAATATTATAACTACCTTCCTAGTAGAATGTCTTTCTTATAGAGATGATATTAATTTATGATGAATTTTAACTACTTAAGAAAAAAAAACTATTCATCAAAACATGAAACCTGTATGAAAATGAAATTTTACAAGAGAAATTATAGATAAAACGTATGTATTTGTGATGAATTACTACTCTGCTTTTAATAAGAACAGGACAGCGACTGAAATATAAATTATTCGATAAACGTAATGCTATGCTTCTCCACTTCTATAACTTGTAGACAAATTATTTATAATATAGTGAATTTCTTGACAAAGAGAGCACAAAACTCTAATTTGTGAGCTATTACATTTCCTGTTTTTGTCTCGTTCTCGAAAAAAAAAATGATTTTATGAGTGTTCATTAGTCCAATTCTGTTACTCACTTCCTCATTATTCTTGCTGATCCTTGCTTGATTCTAAATTAAGCTTGTTTTTTATGATCAAAGTTAAAAAGAAACAAATTTTATCTTTTTAAGAAGTCTTATCGAATCAAACAGTATGTACCGAAAGAGTCAGCGCAACTTTTATGAGATTACAAAGTGAAATATAATTAAGCTATTTTCATTATACACAAAAATTTTGTAGATCTGTTTGTTGTATGAAACTATGTTCTATTATTATCTTAGCGATATTGAATGGAAAATATCAGCATATTTGTCTCAGTCTATGCATAAGAATGATGGAAGAAGAACAAGTGAAAAAAAATGGATTTTGATTTTTAGATTTGTTTGAACTTTTTGAAATTTTCGATAATTCATGATATTTTGTTCTAAAATTCAAAACACCTACACCCTCAAAATATACTATAAAGTTCTCAATCAATTGCAACAAAAACGAAACTAACTATCAATGAACATTCTTAAGATACTTAAATACATGAGAAAGTAATAGTATGTAAGAAAATATGAAAATATATGAGAGAGATGCGTTGAATATGTTAGGAGAAAATGATGCAAACTGAAATTAACTTCTTATATTAAATTTTTAAAAATCAAGACTTTTCTTATTGAGGATTCATAAAATGTGATCATGTCTGTCTTATCGTTTTGCCTGCTCGAGTGATATTTGAACTCTTGAATTCGATCGAATATTTGATCATTCGATGATAATAGATCTATTGAAAAAATTATGAAATCGTTTGCCGAATTTCAGATAAAAAAAGTCATAATTATTGTTACATTTTCATATGATTACATCGATTACTTATGGATTATGCTCAATATAATCATATTATAATGCAACAATTTTAATTATTCTTATGTTTCATAGGCTTCTAAAAATAGTTATACTCCTACATAAATGAGATTAGTATGGAGGCAGTGTCTGAAGAATAACTATTCATATTTTACCTGTATTTAGTGGATCTCATAAAAATAAGTCTCCTTTTCGTCGATGAGAATCCTTAAATCTTTTTCTCTACATTGATGTAAGATGTCACTCCGAACTTCTGATCTGTAGTGACAACGGTTATCGGATGTAGAGAATCTACATCTTGAAAAATATATCGAAAGATATGTTCAGTTGTATAAATTTTAAGAACTTTTCAAATCTACTCATGATCTGACAGAGAAAATTATTTCAAGAAATGAAGCCTTTGTAGCGAATCTTTTGATAATTGAGAAAAGTGAAGTAAATAATTATGTAAAGGATATCACATACTTACTTGGAAAGATAATTATGGATCTATGACAACTGGACTATCAAGAGCTGGCTGTACGCTTCTAACCTCTTTCAATCTGTTGAAATACTAAATCTAATGTAGTCTGATTATAGGCGATGATTGAAGCGTTCGTTTGTAATACAAAAAAGGAATATATATATTCGCCTATTTTATCTGAGGAAGAATAAAGTCTTGCTGAGTATTATAAAGAGAAAAAAACTCGATCGGGTGAAATTGTTTATTCCTTCTTACTTCCTAAATAATACTAAAAAGAATATGGAGAGTATTCCTAGATGTCCATTTACTTATGAGTAGAAACAATGTGCATCATATATTTTATTTACCAGGTGAACCTGAGGTGAACTCAAGCGTTGTTCTAACACATCTATATCTCGGGAAAAACAAGTTAAGGACAGGACTAGTTTTACTGTATTTTTACTCCATTCTGCGCTCAATTTCCTACAAAATCATGTCAACAGAAAATCAACAATACATAGATATTCTATCCAAGGCATACAACATTTTTATACTCCAGAATGATCTGCTTTCCAAAGTATATTTTCAGACAATTAATTATTCCTTGCATTTTTCCTAATGAGACGTAATGTTGTTCTATTATGTGAGATTTCCTGTGTTTTGAAACGTGCTCTTTCTCAAATTCTGTAAAATAAGTCACTTAACTAAGAAAATGAGATTCTAGAGATAGATATTCGCGAAAAATATGTTGGAAAAACTTTCCGTTTGACATCTTGCTTATTATTGGCGACTAACGAAGATCTGTATATTAGTTTTTAATTTGACAAAAAATTGAGAAGAAAGCTTTAAGCTTTCTTTTCATAATACAATATTTACAATTAGTTCCATTGTTAGGCTATAGAAACCAGAATAAAGAATAAAACTGAAAAGAAGAACTTCGCCATGAACATGTGGGCGACAATTATTTAGTTGTCTTTCAACTGATAGAGCATCGAAATAAGTTATATTTATATTTTTGTTATACTCTTTCGATATGTCTTTCTAGAGAAGTGAATGAGAAATCTTTTGAGTCTAAATGCAAATATGCATGATAGAAATGCGTCGAGACATTGACAAAATACTGATGATTTCATCATTTATGCTACAGCTTTTACTTATGAAAATCATGCTTATGTTTGAACTTGCACTGTAAGTGACAGAGCATTCATAAGATTGAGGAGTTTATCACTAAATTTTGAATGTACAGTTAAAAACTAAAGTAAATTGATAAATGATGAAGCCTTTTCAAAATCTTTTAATGAGTTTTAATTTGCGATAATATGACATTAACAATTTGTGGGCTTGAATTAAATAAGATGACTATCTGAAGAAATTTTATTAATACTGCGAGAAATAATCATCATAATTCTATTGCATTTGAAGATAAGAAAGATGACGTCTTGGAAATGTGACAGGAGCGATTTTCCTGTCAATAACAGAATAACAAGATAAAAACCCTCATTAAGCATGTAGACGCTTTATTCTTACTCTCACGTTCGTAAATATGACATGTTATAATAAACAAAAAGTAGCTTCTAAAATAAGTATGTACTTTTTAGTATGAATAAGTTTACTGTATGATGAAAGAAATGACTTTGAGTAAGACTTAATTGAATGATCTGAGAAACCATGATGTGAAAAAAAGCATTTTTTAAGACATTAGATTTCAGAGCAGCGAAACTAATGTCAAATATTATACATAACTATATAGGACACCCCCTTTGGTTGTAGATGTGGACTTTGTTCTGCATACGTTATGATAACGAGAACACATCCTCAGAAAACAGAAGCTTTTTTTAATTTATTCTTTGGATTTCATTATTAAGTCGAAAATCAATATTATTTTGATTCGATGAGATATCGACCAAGTGACATCGATTTGAAAAAGCGTTCTGAAATATGGATCGATATGAATGCTTGTAGACAGTCATTGGTATTCACTTTTATTATTCATTGTAAAAGTATTATTACAAAGAGAAGAATTTTCCAGTATTTCTGAATAAAATAAATAACGATTAGTCTAGGCTAAGTGCAGCGACTTTTACAATTTTTGCTGTTTCTTTATCTTTATCCTAAACTGGAAACTTTCTTATTCTTGAACATTTCTTCACCACCAAAATGGATACTTTGGTAACGAAATAACTGGTTCATTCCCATTCGGATCAGTTTCTTCTTCCAGTTGAATTTCATATTTAGATTAATGGCTATGGTTTAAAATTTTTATCAAGCGAAATGCTGTTGATAGCAGGATCAGAATTTCTTCTTTATCTGAAAAATTCCGATACTTCTTCCAGATCAATACTTGATTGTCGATCAATGATTTTATACATCGTGTCTCAAAATTATAAGACCCTCACCTTATCATAGCTGGGTGTGGATTTTTCCTTCATTCACTCATACCCTTTATCGCCTTCTATGGTTAAAATGGTCAGATATTAAAATATCAACAACCACGGTATCTATTCAATCTCCAATCATAATAATCTTGAATAAAAGAATAATGAACACATTGTATTATTATATGTAAATTATAATTCATCGGAAAACTCTAAATAAGAATTTCACTGTTAAACTGTTTTGCACATACTTTTTAATTGTAGATCTGTTCGATAGCGATATATCGAAATAGAAGAATATTTCTTTAAATAAACATTAATAAAGATCAACAATAGACTGTTGAAACACAAGTACGATGAAATTTTGTATAATTGATAATTGTATGACACAAACAAACAAGTGTATCAAATCATTACAATAGCTTGTAACCTGATCAAAACAAAACTACATAAAAGAAGTTAATTCTATTGTTTTGAACAAATGTTTGACCGTTTCCAAAACAATACGAAGAAGACAAAAGAATAGTAGAAATTTAAGTATGTGAGTGTGTGTGGGGTGTAGGTGTAGGCGTGGAGGGGGTGTGGGTGAGGGTGAAGTTCAAAAAGAGACCAACACCCACACCCGATGAATTAAATTGCATTATCATTGTATTATTACTTTCTTTGATGGAAAAGAGTATACTTTTGTTCG